CAATAGTCCATAGCAAGGAGCAGGAGCAGTAACTTCTGAGGACTATACCTGTGGACCTTGATATTAGACCCAGGTGCTGTGACTTCCAAAAGGTGATTTTTCCAACATAAAAAATTAAGTAGAGTTCCAGAATAATGTGACTGGAGGGCACAAGGCACCAAGAACCTAGGGGGGCACCTCACCTCAGAGGGCAGAGGCCATTACCACTCACCTGAGCCTGGCTTCTCCAGCACCTGAGGGATCAGAGGCAGTGCTGGCCAAGCAGCTCCATGGTGGTGTGGTCCGGTCCCACCGGCTGACGATGTAGCAGGACTACTCAGACAGCCCACCAGCTGATGACCCCCAGTCAGAATCGTGGACAGAGAGTGGAGGGGATTTCGGGTTCTCCAGTCCCGTGGTGCTCGCTGTGTGGCTGGCAGGCCTGTTCAGTTTTTTTCCAGCCCTGTCTTTGTGCCTGCCTTCCTCTGGCTGACACGGGCAGACCAGTGCCATGCTCCTGGCCACAGGTGAGGCAGGCAGTGAATGGAAGAAGCCTGTAAAGTCTATGGCTTAATTTTCCACAAGACTGAGTTCTTGAGATTTCTGGGTATGAATACAGTATTTGGGCCAGAAGTAAGGGGACAAGGAAGATCCTTCCCCAGAGAAGAAATGGCCCCTGGTCAGGGCCAGATCAGGGGAGAATGTGAGGTTTGGAGGGGTCTGAGCCCCTAGCAGTGTGCCAGGCCCCCAGCATGTCCCCAGAGAGGAAATGACAGCTCTGCAGCTTTCTGTCCTCTGCACACAGCCTTGGATACTGTCAGAGCTGCTCAGACAGAGGGGCCTCTCAGGGTGAAGGGTGTGGCCCAGGCATCCTGGGGGGACCCTGGCTGGGAACTACATGCATCTCCCCACGAGCACTTCCCCTGACCAAGCCCCTGACACCACACAAACCCACCACTGCCGTGCTTACCCGTGGGGAGAGGCACCAAGAAGGACTGAGATGAAGTTTTCCACGGTGCCAGCAACATGAGTGTTCAGATTCAGAAATTCAACTGTTACAGAAGTTAAATTATAGGATAATTTAACTACTGAGTTGATGGGCTACAACTGATCCCTGCCACATGCAGATGAGAGAACTGAGGCTCAGAGATGGCAGATGCGCAACCAAGGCCACAGGCAAGCAGAGACAGGAGCAGAGCAGAACTGGACCCAAGCCTGTGAGACTCCATGTCCAGGAGAGGGGGTGAGGGGCAGCGCGCCCAGACGTCCACAAGAGGGCCTGGTCTGATAAATAAGGGGCAGAGAAAGAGCCTTGTGTATAAAAATGGAGCAGCCGTCAAGATATACTACCAAGTAAAAATAAAAGTACACACTTCCTTGTACTCATCACTTGTATAAATAAATCTGGCAGATGCAGAGGCTGGTGCGCTGATTGTCTCCTGGAGGGAACTGGGGGTAGGGACACAAGTGGGGTAGGAGACCTTTCTCAGGTGCACCTTTTAGATTTTGAATCAAGAGAATATTCATATTTTTTAAATAATAAGATTTTTTTTTAAAGAGTGACAGAGAGCCTCCTTGTTCAACACTCTCGAATGGGATAGAACAGACTCCTACTGAGCACTTAGGGTGTGCCAAGCCCCCGGTGGGTGCTGCGGGTCAACCATGATGACAGGGTGCTGCCTCTGCCTACCAGGAGCCCACTCGCCCCGGGAAACCCAGAACCCCCAGGCTGGACCATAGGATAAGAGACCACACGACTCCCACAGCTTGTCTGTTACGCATTTGCCTAGCTGCCCAGCCATGCTAGGCTGTGAGCCTCAGCTGGAGAGGGGCGCGGGTCCATCCCAGGACCAGATCCTGTGGGCCTGATGACCACAGCGCAGTCTGAGCCACAACTCCTCAGCGCCACCCTGCTCCTTCCTGGCAGTCTCGGAGACAGGGCAGTGGGAAAGTGGGGAGATTGTGTTTCTAGAAGACCTTCTGTATTTCTTTGGAAAGGATCATACACCATTGTGACTTTTTTTCTCTTGCTTCAGGCACTCATGTGTAACCAGCAGCAGTTACTGTGAGGGTGAAATAAGCAGTGAGCCCTGGTAGGGAACTGCATCCCGGTGGGAAGTGTAAGCAGGCCCAGGCTCTCAGGAAAGGAGGCTGCAATCCACCACATTGCAGAGTCTCTGCCCCCCTCCCTGCCCTTTTCTGCCCCGACGTTTTACACCAGCTCCCTTCTAAGAGTAGGCCACAGCAGCAGCCTAGAGAGCTTGACTTTCCACCACCTTCCCCAGAATTCACCTCATGTTGTCCTCAACCTACCAGGAAGAGAGAAGTACCTCCTTGGGGTGAAGCTACATGACTTGTGTCCCTGAGACTCAAGGAGGGGAAGGTCTTTTCTGGCGGAGTTGCAGGGTCTGGCTAAATGAAGCCAGTGAGTCAGTCAGTGCTCTCCCAGACAATGCTCCCAATGAGCCTCCTGTTGTCCTGGGTGTGGAACATGAAGCAAGGGTATTATCTTAGATGCAGGTGTGATTGAGGCCTGCTCACCAGGTAGCTAGAGAGTAGCAGAGTGGAAATTTCAATCCGAGGTGTCCCATACCCAAATTCAGGTTCTCTTCACACTGTTTCTAGAAGAGAACTCAAGAGTTCACTTAATATAACTTTGCATTTTCAAATGATGAACGAAGGCCAGAGAGGGAGAGAGACATCTCCAAGGTCACACAGCATGTAACAGGCAAAGCCAGGTCACAAAAACTCAGCCCCTGTCTCCCACTTTTGAAGTAATTCTGTCCCCTGTCACAGCAATAAGAAAGGCAGATTGGTTGAAAATACCTGACACCTTCTCCTTATATCGACCTGATTTGTCCCAACTCGCTCCATTTCTCAGTTGTTGCCCTTAGACCAGTGGTTGTGACCTCAAATGTCTTCAAGGACAGGCAGGTCAGTAAGTGAGTAGGTAATCTAGGCCCTCAACTCTATGACAAGATAGCATGGAGGAGTGATGACTGTGTTGAACTGGGAAGTGTCTTTCCTTACTAAAAACCTTCAAATCCAATTTTTAAAGTATCAAGGCTTCATATGACTTGCGGGAGGGGCGTATGGGGCACAGACAGAACAAGATGGACCATGAGTTGGTAATAACTGAAGAAGGGCATTGGGTCCATGGGGTTATTAACACTATTCTGAGTAAATGTGTATATGTTTTAAATTTTCCATAACAAAATTTTTTTTTTATTAATGTGTTATCAAAAACATGTTGGGTCCTCAAGCCATGTCAGATCTACAGTATGCTAATTGGGGAATTAGCATACTCTACACACTCCCTCATAGCCCCCTGGCTCTCTCTGTCCTTCAGGACAATTCTGTCTGTATGGTCTGGGACAAGGAAAGAGGAGGGAGGGAGGAGGGGAGGCACAGTGGCCTGGGAAGGGCTTGGAGTCAGCCAGCACCGATGCCCATGATCGTGGACTCTGGGGATTTGGATGAACCCCATAAAAATGGATTCAAGTCATACCCCCTGCATCCTGTCTAACCCTTTCGACCCCCACCCTTTGCCCTTCCTCCCTGTACATCATTGTTTCTTGCTCACATTTCTTACCACCCACCCCACCAAGGGCAACAAGTAAATCTAGGGTCAATGTCCTCCATCTGCAGAGGGCAACATATCCCATTGGGATGAAAAATAAAATGCATGTGTGGCTGGGCACATTCAGAGCACCTGTGACTCTAGGGAGAGTTGCACTGACTTCTAGCAAGACCTCACCAACAGGCAAGGAAGGCTTAAGCTTTTGGGCAGAAGCAAGGTGGGGAAAGAAGGTAGGAGTTTCATTTTTATTTTTTACTCTGTTTCTTAGGCTGACTGCTATTTACCATACTCATCTCTTAACCCTAATGTCTTCCCAGTTTATAAAGTGCTGTCACACATATCACTTCATCTTCAACCCTGTGAGGTAGGTATAATAGTATCTCCATTTCATAGATAAGGAAACTGAGGCTCCACATGATTACGTGACTTGCTCAAGATAGCTTATAAATGGCAAGAGTTCAGGGTTGCTGACCCTGATTTTAATGTTCTTTCCTCTACCTCAGACTGGGAGGGGTGGCAGGACTTCCTTCACTGGGCTCTTCAGCTCTCCATGGACCTGGTGAGAGGAAAAAATGCGTCACTGAAGTGTCCAAGTAGTCAATTGTGGTGGCAGGAAGTTTTGATGGACCCAGTTCACTGCAAGTTGTGTTGCCATTTTTAATTGAGGAGAATCGTTTGAGGTAATAGTCTGACTTGAAAGGGGCTTCTGGGATGATGCAGACAGGGGGCACTTGGATTTCTCCATGTCTTTGTGTGATGACCACGTAGCCCCTAAGTCTCTCCTGAGCGTGATACAGATGGAGAAGCTGAAAGAAAACACTAACATTGTCCACTTTGATGTGTGACTCCAGGCCAGACATTTCCCTCTCTGGTCCTCAGAGTATCCTTCTGGCAGCCAAACTAAGGCTATCTCCTGTGCCAGATCACTGCACAGAAGGCTGTACTTCTTTAGCAACCTCCTAGAAAAGAAGGTGACTTAGGAAAGGGTTGTCAGAGAAAGTGTCCCACACCCCTCACTGGTTTGGGAATTTAACGTCAGGGGAGCAATGGGAAGCAAGGCAATCATTAGGAGGGAGGATGAAACAGGCTGGTGTGGACCCAGCCCTTCAGCTCTGGCCCACACAGAGTTTGCTTTTCATGCTTTTCCTGTTATTTTGGCTTGTTTTCCAAACATGGGTCAAACAATCTGTCCTCAGCAGCAGCAGCAGCAGCAGCAGCAGCAGCGCAGCAGGAAATGTTATTAAAAATGAGTTTGTTAGTGAGCATGATGTGTGGATGAAGTCTTTGGGAGCTTTGGCTGCCAAATAAAGACTTTATTGTTGTCATTCCTCCTTTCCCAAGCTCCCTCCCTCCCTTCTCTCCTCCCTCCTCTCGCCCCTCCCTACAATCAGCCTGTACCTCCCCCTAACATAACCTCCCCACCCCAATAGGATCTGGTAGATGAAAAGTCAAGCAAACCCAAGCACACTAGCACCACTGGGAGATCAGAACTTCTAGCTGGCTCTCTGCTGCCACAGCTCCACCGAAGGGTGGGGGAGGAAGAGGAGGGAGCCTTGCCGGGGGAACTAACCCAGAGCTGAGAGCAGAGGCAGGTGTATGCAGGTAAGCCCCGTGGGGAGATGCACAGGAAGCCTCCTCCCTCCAGCAAGTGTCCTCCTGCTCTGTCCAGCCTTGGTGGTTGACCTATTCTCTGTCTCCCCCTTCCTACCTTCCACCTTTGTCTCCTTTCAAGAGTTCAAATTAATCTTCCTCAGTGCTTAGGCACTCTATATCTCATCCTTCTCTTTATCATGCTCTACCTGTGTATTTGCTGGCTGCAAAAGTTAAACTTTCTTGGTACAGATGTTTGTTGTAGCACAGAGTTATGCTGCCCACAACACTTTTACAGATTGTGTATTTCCATAGAAACTGGAATCAAGAACCCATTTCTCTGTACTTTTCACATATTGTCATTCACTGTCATAGGCACACACACACGTTACATGGAGGCTTTCATTTTACACACACATACATAAATACATACAAATAAAGGCTTCTGCACATTCACCTGAACTTTTTGACTGCATGTGACACGCAGAGCGAGACATGCACACACACTGCGTCTTGTCTCTCACGCTCTCACACACCTCGCCAACCGTAATAGCAAAGAGAAAGTGCGTCTTCCCACTGAGATGACAGAGCCAAAGAAAATGATGTGCGCTTAGTCTAGGCTGAGCAGGGAGGGCATGAGCAAGAGCAGGGCTTGGAAGGACTTCTTCATTCTTTAGAACTTAATTGAGTAGGAGGGAGAAAAAGTCGCTTTCCAACTTGCACAGTGTCTTCCCAGTAGCTCTGAATTTCTGTCTCACTGGTCCAAACCACTGGCTTTGGAAAGAAAGAGAAGAAAGAATCCAGCTTCCAAGCCTTGGAGGTCCTAATCCCCAGCGCAGGCGGCAATTCATTTAATTTTCAGCAGACAGTCAGAAGAGATTTCTCTTTAAAGCCATTTCAAAATAATCCCTGGTTGCCAAGGAGTCCTTGTGGCAGAGAAAAAATAAAGTAGTCTCTTAATGAGTCAGGGAGGGGAGAGCTGGAGGAGTAACTGAGTGGGTCTTGTTTCCAAATAGGGTGACCCTTGTCCATGTTAACAAGACAGAGTGCTGTCCCAAGGCAGGCAGGAGCAGGCTAACCCAGGGTCCTCAGATGTGGGCGATCTTCACAATCACCTGGGGGCAGGGGAGAAGGGAATGGGGACACTTACTAACAATATAGAAGTCTGGACCCCTTGCTCCAGACCTACTGAATAGAGACCCAGGATCTGCCATGGTTTTAGTACGATGATCAGCCAGGGCTTGAGAACCTGAATCAGGGGCCTGCAGGAGACCCATGCTGGGATTGAAGAGCCCAGGGCTCCTGGTGGTGCTGGCTTGGCAGAAGGGCTAAGGGCTATGTGTTTCCTGGACAAGAACCGTCTGAAGGAGCAGCTCCAGGGTGTCCCAAATGGGAGTTGGTGCTGAGGGAATAGGAAAGATCTCCTGTGTGTTCTCTCCCTCCATCCTCCCTGCAAGTACCTGCAACCATAATACTGGGGGGCATCCTAGACAGAAAGTTCTCCAAAGACAGCTCCAGAAGGCTTTTGTTTCCTCTCACCTGCTAGTCTGCCTGCCCTGTGTCCCCTGAGGCATGGTGCTGGGCCTCTGCCCATCTCTTTCAGATCCCTCTTCTCTTGCCCAATAGCTGTCTGTTCTGATGGCCTCACACAGAAGATGGGCTGGACACCAAGCTCTGCCCAGTGGGCAGCCCCATTTCTTAGGCATGTGAGGGAAGCATTTCAAAGCTGGAAGAGGCAAAAAAAGCCAGACATGAAAGGTTGGGAGGGAAAGTCATGGGTCACAATGGGACTCCCCAGCCAGCTCTGTGCCTTCCCTCACCAGCACCCCCTCACCTGCTGCAGAAAGGCATGAGGACAGGGTAGGGGGCGGGGAGTGATTTGGAGGACAGAGTAAGCAGTTGCAGGTGGCTGAGGGTCTATGGTCTCTCCAATTAGTTGGTTCTGAGACCCCAGTGTGGTCTTACAGGCCGCAAGAGGGAAGTTGCTCTGTGTGAAAGGAGAGGGGGACCCATGAGCCAGCACCACCTGCAAGGATCTCCACCATCTGGTGGAGGGGTGAATGCCCTTTGGCCAAGCTGGAGGGGAAGAGACTCGTTACTCTGAAGTGATGTCAACAATAGCTTAATATTCACTGAGCACTCACTTTCACACATTTACTCATTTAACACTCAGATCAACATAAGAAAGTATTAATGTGTTCATTTCACAGATGAGAGAGCTGAAGCTTACTTAAGGTAAGATGTGTGCTCAAGAGCACCCAGCAAAGACGCTGAAGAGTTGCAAGTTTAGGACCCAGATATATGAACACCTAGGGCAACAGACAGATTCTTCCAGGGATGGAGGCAGGAAGGAGATGGTGAGGCAAGGAGCAGAGCTATCTCACACTTGTTCCTTCCTCAGCCCCTCTAAATGGAAAACTTGCTCTTCTGCAATAGTGGCCTGAGGCCAGAAAAACTTCACTTTGTTTATACTTTGCCTTGCAGTAGACACTGGGGAGACAGATGGTCTCTCCATCTTAGTGTTATATTTATTTTTAGCACTTGTTGATGTGCAGCGCATTTTAAAGTTGCTTATCACACTTGCTTCTGACAACAACTGGATGAGGATTACAGGAATAGGAATGGGGACAATTTCTTATCCCCCTTTACAGGTAAGAAAACTGAGGCTGAGAGCAGGTTGGTGTTACTAGGTAGCAGTCGTCGGGCCGAGAACCCGCCACCCCTGTCTAGTTTGCACCATGAAGCACTACCCATCTGCCCCAGTCAGGTCCACCCTTATACTGATTTCACCCCCAAGGACAGTGGCCGCCACATCGGTGGTGCGTTGAATTCATCACATCCCCATATCAGCCCTGTCATTATCCCAGGACCACACAAGCCCTCCTTACGGGCCTTGAAAGGGTCTCAGGTAGCCTCGGTGGGTCTGCCTTGCTCTTCTGCTCACAGTTGGGCAGTGAGCACCTGATTCTCCTGGCTTCCAACTCCCTCTGGGCTTCAGGAAGAAATGTAAGGGACAGGATGGTTTTCAGAAGTCTGAGTTTAGAACAGAAAGTCAGGAAGAGAGAAAGGGGGTTAGGCCAATGTCCGTGGGTGTGGCTCCAGGGCAGGGGGCAGCCCCATTTTCCACAGCAGGGCCGCTGGCTCAGGTAAACCATGGAGGTTTAGGGGTAACAACGAGACAGAGGGTCTGACAAAAAAGAAGAATACCAGCAAGTTTTGCAGAGTAATCCTTTAACCTGAGGAAACACCCCAGCTCACCTGCAGTCAATCTCAATTCCCGACTCTCCATACAAAGCCAGTTACCCTTAAACTTTCTCCCAGTGTCTTGACAAACACATGTGGACCTCAACCCAGCCCTGCCCTGAACCTAAACATTGCACCAACCCTGGATATTCAAATTTTAAACGAACAAGTTTATGAGCTAGATAGAGATGAAGGCTAGCTTGCTTTAAAATAAGAGTATCTCTAGGGAATCTGCTCTTTTATAATCAAATCAATGAATAAGCTGAACCGCTGCCATTTGTGGAGAGTTTACATGCTCTGACATGTCTTCGTGTGCATGATCTCATTTGATCCTCACACAGAGGAGGAGCTTGAGGCCTGGGGCGGAGGGACACAGCCAGGATTCAAGCCCAGATCTCCAGCACTGGAACTGAAATTTGAATTTCAAACTCCCTTAGGAAATGTTCTTAAAGGGAAAGATTGAAGTTTGAGTTGGGTAAACAATTGCGGTCCTCCCTGTGAAGCAGCAGCATTTAGAGAGCGAGTGTTAGCAAACAGGGCTGCAGGAGGTCAGTGATTGTCCATGGTCAACCAGCATTCAGTGTCTGAGCAGTGCACACAGCCAGCAGAAAGTTGGGAGGTGGAGCACTGTGCTTGCAAAAGCATAGGGAATTTAAAAATCACAAACACTTATGACTCACCCAAGAGAGCTTATGATTGAACAGAAGGTTCTGGAAGGCAGAAACATAAGAAAGTGTGACTCTAGGTTTTTGAGGAGGAGAGCTATGACTCCCCGTGGAGTTTGGGGACTTCCAGGCTGTCACAAAGATTCTGGTTTCAGGGATTAAGACATTATAGTGCATTGCCAGAGCTGGGCTGTCCGGATCTCCCCGCAACCGCCAGCCACGCTGCAGCAGGAATAGGTGTTGCCCAATGAGAAAAGGCTTAAAAATGAACGTTATTTTCTCAAGAAAGAAGCATAGGTGTGGGCATGTGGACACACACACACACACACACACAGAATGGCTCAGCCACAGGCTAAGAGAAAGGGAGTTAGTAGATCCAGCTTCTCCATGGAACAGGCCCATGGAGCTTTTCTAGGAAGCCTCCCATCTGCTCCGGGAAAGCTTGGCCAGCTCCCAGAGGCTTGGTATGCAAAAGGATCAGGAGTGGCGGGCAGGTCAGAGGAGTCCCTGAAGGGGCTGAGAGAGCAATAGAGATGAAGAAGACCTCTGTTCATTCCTGATGGAAGGAGTGGGAAGCTAGCCTGCCAGGTAGAGCTGTGACTGACCTGTGATCCTATCATTCCTGACAACGAGGACCAGGGCTACAGGAACACCCCTGTGCAAAGGCCTGAGTCACTGTGCCTCACAGAGTGAGCTTTTGCTGGAAGGTATGGACAAGTTTTCCCAGCTTCAGGGCCCAGTTCCCGGCAGATGCTTTTGGTGACAAAGGCAATTCCAGGAAATAGGGAGCTCTAGCCAACACTGGGGTGCCTCTTTGGGTCAGGGCTTGTTTGTTTCAGGCTTCTAGGTGATAAGAAAATAAATAAATGCCAAAACAAAAAAATTCATGGTCACGAAAATTGGGGCTTTTAAAATGTTTGTTTTTAGCATACTAATGCTTTAAATATCTCCTTAAAATTTATATGCAAAATGATGGTGTCAATTTGAAGAAAATTACAGGACTCAATAAAATATTAATTCATAGCTCATCAAGTGATGTCAGTCTAGCCACAAAGCTCCAAGTGTAGTTTTACAAGGAATGACTTATCTTTTCCATCCTTTCAGTGAATCCCTGAGACTGTTACAGCCTCTCAACTGCAGATAAAAGCCAAGGATCTAAATGCAAGTTCCTTTGTGACACAAGGCCTTGGGAAAATGGCCATCCTGGACCCCTTTGGGGAGGCTGGCCTGGGAAAAGATCAATTTAGAGGGAGGTGGAGAGGCAGCAGAGGATACAGGCAACCCCTTCCCTCCTTCCTCCTTGTATGTCTGTCTGTCTGCCTTCCCTTTCTCCCTCCCTCTCTCCTTCCCCCTTTCCTTCCCGTACTCAGTGTACTATATATAAAGGTTTACATATGTACACAGAGCCCATCCAAACATGAGTTTGCTTATGTCTATAATACAAGCTAAGAGTGTGTGTGTGTGTGTGTGTGTGTGTGTGTGTGTGTGTGTGTGTGTGTACAGGCTGGGAGTCAAGGATGTGTTTGTGTAAAGTGTGGGAGACTCCTCCTACTCTCCACAGTTAAGTTCTGCCTTCTCTCCTGTTGCTTTTCATGTTCAGCTCCTCCTGAGACCCTGGGCCAGGACTAAACAGCTGGTGAGGGACTTCTGTTGTCTTCCTTTGAGCAAAGGCAACAAGAAGCCAGCGCTGAGTCAGTCACTCATACAGGGAGGAGTCTGAGCCTATGTGGGCTCAAAGGAAAGAGAGCAAGTAACCTGGAACAGAGGTGGTGACCACAGGGTCTAGAAATAGCTGAGGACACACTCCAGCCCAATCTGTCTCCGAGGACCCCAAGGTGTCTATCCCCAGTGTGTTCTAGATCCCAGAAGGGGGATAGGCAGACACCACAGTTGTGAAGAAGCAACAAATGGAAACAATGTGGGAATGATGTCACTGCCTGCAGATCGGAGGGGATGTCATAAGGATGGGAACCCTGGGGAGAGCATAGTACATGACATCCCTTCCCCAGACCCTTCCCCAGATCCTTCTCCAGACCCTTCTCCAGTCCCTTCCCAGCCAGGCAAGGGGGCAAGCCTATGGGAGCTGCCACTTTATGTCAGCAACCCTGGGTCTATTGATATTTCCCCAGCTTAATTCAATTCAAACCACCTGGCTCTATCTGAGAGGTCATCATGACCAATGGGAAGAGCAACCCCAAAACATCCTTCAGCAACCTATTCCACTATGCCTCTGAGGCTAGCGGGAAGTTCTTGATACCTGAACAATACGAACTCCTGAGGATATGAGAGTAGTGATACTGTGTCACAAGAATTTAAAGTGGTTTCCCTCCAGCTTTCCATCCCTCCCCTGTTTTCTTTCCCAGAAGCTTCCATGTCAGAGGAGAATTCTTGGTGTGTCTCCCGCTGGTAAAGATCAGTGTTCACTGAACTGAGTGCAGTGGGCAAGGGGCAAGCAGGTAGGCACACGCAGGTCTGCATCGCTTCCTTCCTTTCCAAGATCTTACAAGCCCTGCCCTGGAAGGCAGGAGACCCGGGCCTTTGTCCTGGGTCTGCTGTAAATGGCTTCCTGACCTTGGCACACCACTTCGTCCCTCCAGGGCTCAGTCTTTATTAACAGTACCGTCTGGGCTTCGTTGGTGGATTTCAAACCAGTTTTTAGCAATGCAACTTTATTTTTCAAACAAATGCTTTGATTAAACACCAATGTGTGTGTGTGTGTGTGTGTGTGTGTGTGTGTGTGTGTGTGTGTATCAGAATTAAAAAACACAGAGCCACTCAGGCTGTCACTGGAGTGAGTTGGGGTGCCCTGGGACCATCCTCTTGGTCTCTTTCCTTCAGGGGAGCTCCACAGAAATGGGGGCACAGTTTCAGAACCACTGAGCTGTGGGATCTCTGAGGACACCTCCAGATTATAACACCTCAGGACTCTGTGGTTCATATACCCTAACATCCTTCATGTAAGGACAGCAATGATTTTCTCATGGTGAAAATGGGGATACTGAGGGCTAGAGAGCAAACTACAGGACTCCTGCGTCTCAACCCACTGTGCTTTCTGCCAGGATGGCTTACACTCTCCAGAGCAGGAGAACACACAGAGTGGCTAGGCACCTGGGCAGGGAATCCAGAACCTCAAGCCCTCTTTACTTTCTCGCCTGCTAGATAAAGGTAAACAAGGAAATGCTTTTGCAATTCCTCCCGCAGTTTGCCAGGAGACCATCCTGGTCGACTTTAACTGCAAAGCCATGGTCTCTAAATACTGAGAGGCCCAAAAGGCTAATGAACTCCATTCTCTCCCTGCAGGCACATCATCCAGATCATGAGGCCATCCCTCTTCTTGCTCCTCCCACTTCTCCTCGTCTTGGCCTCTGTGACCCAAGGCCAGCCAACAAGACGACCAAGGCCCAGGCCCAGGCCCAGGCCCAGGCCCAGGCCCACTCCCAGCTTTCTTCAGCCCCATGAGCCATCAGAGCCTACAGACCTGCCTCCGCCCCTCCCACCAGGCCCTCCATCTATCTTTCCTGACTGTCCCCGGGAGTGCTACTGCCCCCATGATTTCCCATCTGCCCTCTACTGTGACAGCCGCAACCTTAGAAAGGTCCCCATCATCCCACCCCGCATCCATTACCTCTATCTCCAGAACAACTTCATAACCGAGCTCCCAGTGGAGTCCTTCAAGAATGCCTCAGGCCTGAGGTGGGTCAACCTCGACAACAATCGAATTCGCAAGGTAGACCAGAAGGTGCTGGAGCAACTGCCCAGCCTGGCATTCCTCTACATGGAAAAGAACCAGCTGGAAGAAGTGCCCTCTGCCCTGCCCCCAAACCTGGAGCAGCTGAGGCTGAGCCAGAACCAAATCTCCAAGATCCCGCCCGGTGCCTTCAGCAAGCTGGAGAACCTGCTGCTCCTGGATCTCCAACACAACAAACTGAATGATGAAGTCCTCAAGCCAGACACCTTCAAGGGCCTCAAGAACCTCATGCAGCTCAACCTGGCCCACAACATCCTGAGAAAGATGCCACCCAAGGTCCCCACAGCCATTCACCAGCTCTACCTGGACAGCAACAAGATCGAGTCGATCCCTAGTGGATACTTCAAGGCCTTCCCCAACCTTGCCTTCATTCGCCTTAACTATAACAAGCTATCTGACAGGGGGCTCCCCAAGAACTCCTTTAAAATCTCCAACCTGCTAGTGCTCCACCTATCACACAACAAGATCAGCAATGTGCCTGCCATTAGCAACAAGCTGGAGCACCTATACCTCAACAACAACAGCATCGAGAGTAAGTGGGGCAGGCAGGGCCAGGCCCCAGGTAGGGAGGCCGGGGATTCACCAGCTCAGCCCTTCCTTAGGAGCCTCAGGGTAGAGGTGTGCAAAAGGCACCCTGTTTGGCACTGGACTTCAAACCTTGGCCTTACTTACCACTTGCTATCTGTATGACCTTGAACAGATATTTGACCTCTCTGAGGAGTCCCCTCATCTGTAAAGTGAGAATGGTGAAATACTTCTCATAAAGCTGATATGAAGATTTAATCATTTAACATGTTACAGCACCCAGAATACCATGTGTGGAGGGAATGCATTTCTCTTTCTCCATCTCTTCTCGTCAGCTGCTGATTCTTTGCCCTCTAGATCTATAGGAAGGATAGAAATGGAATATAGTCCTGGATGTTCTCCTAAAGGCAGAACAGTAACACTTAAATGCCAATTCTGAAATGTTCTTGGCCTGCCTGCTGCAGAATCTGGCAGCTGTGAGAGGCAGCGTCCCCCCAAGTCTGCACCTAGGCTTTGAAGCATCCATAAAAGGTATACACAGAGAGGCAGCTATACAGGGGTGGGCAAAAGTAGGCTAATAATAATAATATAATAATTAATAAATAATAATACAAGAATAAACTGTTCCACATATTCACAATGGTAAACCCACGTTTGCTCACCCCTGTATATTCAGGGTCTGCAACTGTTGGTATGACAATGTCGATATGCGGGTGCTTTCTGAATCTACCTGGAAAGCTGGGATATGTAGTCATATAAGACAGTTCACTTAAGGCAGAATTTACATAAGCTGCATTAACAGGGTCCTGGGCTATGAGATATCAGTTGCAGCCCAAAAGAAGAGGCTAGAAGTAGCAATTTTGCTTCCATCAAAAATGTCAGCTCTGAGCAGAGCATCAGCAGAAAGGTTTTAAAACAAAAGAGAGACTATTACCTGCTGCTTGAACAAAATCAGGCTGTCCACACATAAGGAATGCAACAGCTACAGGGATGAGGGGGACCAAGGGAAAGAGAGGCTCCCCTAAAACAATAATAGAAATCCTTGGTTTCCCAGCCAAAGAATGAGAGGGAGATTGTTGAGTTTCTACAATCTTGAAACAAGTGGCAGGGGAACAAGCTTGTTCACTCATCTGGGATAATCACACAGAGTTTGGGCGGGCTTTTTAAAATCTGGCAAGAAACAAATTCAGGAAAAGGGAAAACTGTCTAATTTTACCCTGCAAGGAGAAAAGTGGGGCAACACGCTGCCCCCCAGGATGCTGTAGAGGCCGAAAATATAGATAGAAAAGCAACCTAATATATAGCTCTTCCATCAGGTTGTGGAAGAACAGACTGCGTGCCAGGGGACAGCCAGGCTGCAGAGGGTGAAGTCAGAAAAATTACACCCACTCTTGCCGTGTCACAGATCTGGGAACTGAGCATCAGGGTGGCCAGGGGACAGTCCAAAGTGACAAAAGCTGTAAGAAAATCCATCTATGTCAGGGCTTTTTCTGCAACTCCAATGGTAAAGAGAGAAAAACAATGGCCCTAAGGATAATAAATGGGGAAGGGCTTAGGGAGAATAAAAATTCATTTAGAAGATGATATATCTGATGTCATCTACCAAGAGGTGAAGGAGAAAATGAAATCTCATTTTCCATTTGAAAGCCTAGAATCAGTAATCACACCAGAATCAATAGGCTCCGCACGTCCTGATGGCCTAATGCCCTCCCCAGACCACCTTTCCTCTCCCTGCCATCCCTGTTTCAGTTAACATGGCCAGCTTTTGTCCGTCCACATGCCTCACATCCAGGTGACAGGAAATTCTCACACCCCCTTGCCGGCCTCACAATGTTCTTTCTCCACAGTATGCCTAGATTCGCCTTTCTGCAGTATAAAACTCATCATAGGCCCCTTCCAAATTTTTCATGCCAGGATGCTATATCTCATATATCATATCTGCCTCCTCAAAATGACAGTCTTGCTCAATACCATTCCTCAGACTGACGATCAAAGCCCCAGTCCTTACTGAATTATTTGAAAGCCAACCATAAATTTTGGTCACAGCTTACCTTTCTAGCTCACTCTCTCTAGTCCATCACACTGGATTGTTTACTGCTCCTAGATTCTTCCATGACCTTTTTGGCCTTCACATCTCTATTCAGGTAAGTTCCTTTATCAGAACCCCATCCCTTTATATCTCCCCCTGTTATTATCCTATCTAATTTTGAAGATTTAGCTCAAAGCTTACTTCATCCATGACTCCTCAGGGTGAATTTCCAAAAACAATTGTGAATCAAGTCCAGCTTAATTTTATGAGGAGTAAACCAGGCCTGGAGGTAGGGTTGGACTCATCCACAGTCACACATTCCTTAAGTCAGCCAGTTCCAGAGAGAACTCCAGAGTCGTGACTCTCTGTTGTCCATCCTCTCCTTCCTCACCTGGGCCTGCACCCACCACCTCTGTCCTGACCCCATCCTCCTCTCCTGCTCACCCCTCTGCTTCTTTCTCCATAGAGATCAATGGGACCCAGATTTGCCCCAACAACCTGGTCACCTTTCATGACTTCTCCTCGGATCTGGAAAATGTGCCACACCTCCGCTACCTGAGGCTGGACGGGAACTACCTGAAGCCGCCCATTCCCCTGGACCTCATGATGTGCTTCCGCCTGCTGCAGTCCGTGGTCATCTAGGTCTTGCTCTGCCCTGGGTCTCCTCTGGTTGCACTTGAACACAGGCGGCCCAAGCACCTGAGCTCCCCATTCGTTTTCTCTCTCTGCCTGTCTTTCTGCCGGCTTTGCCTTTCTCATCCCACCTTGCTGAAGCAGGACAAGCCGCACGCTGCTACACCTGCAGCCCCCAGGGCAAGACTTCACAGGCCTTGGCTGGGTCCACCCCATGCAAAGACACCCACTGTAAATCTAAATTTCTGGCCCCAGAAGCACAGATGTTTGTCTGAAGATTTCATAGTCCCTTCTCTCCCCACCTTCCCCCATCACTCCTGGGTCTGGACCTGGACTGACATCTGGACCTCAGTCTGGTGAACCAACCGAGAAAATAGTCGGGGTGGCCCAGAGCTGAGGCTCACAAAGTCCTGCACAAGACTCCTCCTTTGTGGGCACCTCTGACCCCACAGGGCCAAAAAACTCAGGCTTTGTTGACCAAGGATGGTCTGCCTTGCAAAACTGCTGCTCCACCACCAGTTTGCTGGCACCAGACATCACACTGGCTCTCTGTCGACCTGTGTTCTCCAGAAAGGAAGTGCAAGGGCATGACCAGGGGAGAGCAGAGGGTCAGCGTTCCCACAAGGGCCTGCATCCGGCCTACTCTTCACACGGAGGAGCTGCGGCCCTCTTCCTCCAGGGTGAACACAGCTCACGCCCTCCTAAATGGGCCCCTCTAGTCCAAGAGGAAGAGCAAGGAGGAACAGTCCCGGAGAGGGATTGGCCAGCTGGCGAGGGGTAGGGGTCAGAGCCCTGGGATGGGCCAGTGGGGTTGCAGATGGGTCCTGCAGCCCCTTCGGCCACTCTGAACAAGAGGCCTGGTGTCTGGGGAACACAGTGTCCACACGGGAGGGTGCAGAGCTACCAGCCCCACCCTGACATCTGTTCTCTATCAGCTTGGATGGCCCAACCCTGTCCACCCACGAGAGGTTACTGAGAAACCTGCAAGAAGGGGTGGGGCACCTGGAAATTTCCCAGAAGCCTTTTCCACGTGTTCAAATTGGCCTCCTCTCTAAGACAGACACATCAGTGACACCTGGTGGCTGGTGCAGGTCACAGATGTTTCCTCCTCTTCATCTCCCTAGGGCTGATTTTCCAAAGTCAAAGAGTTCCAACTTGAAGACTCAGGAGCCATGTGCGCAGTCTCTCTCTCTCTCCTCTTGGGTCTAAAGGGCACAGAGCTACAGTGGCCCTGAGGTGGGAAGGGTGGGGTGGCTCATTCCATTGCAGGTGAGCACCAGGGGGAACCTTAGGGACCAGGAGAGGGTGTGGTCTGAAATTCCTGTCTGCTGTCTGAACTTGCCGAGCCTTCTGCTCTCAGCTCTCACAATCTGTAAACCCCTCTAAGACCCCTCTAGCACTCATGTTCCATTCTGTGGCTCCACCCTTTAGACCTTGCTCTAATGCAAGACAAGTCTTAAATATTATCCCCTTCTCTTGCAGTTATTTGTTCCCTGTATGGATGTCCCTTCCCCAAATTTCCCACCCTCCTGCTTGGCCCAGGTGAAACTTGGCTGGCCTCCAAGGGAGCCTGGGCCCCAAAGGCTGACCCACCTTTGTCTTCCCCTGACCTGCCTCAGGCGGATGCTGCCCCTCCACAGTCCCTGAGTGTGTATGTTGGTACAGTGGGGGTGGATGTTCTAGAAATGAGTAGTACACTGTGCCCACACTCAAGATAGGTTGAGAAAGGGTCCAGAGATTTTTTAAGAAATCGTATTAAGCTAGACCCTTAACTTCAAGAAGTTTGCATCATACTCTCGTTTCTCTTTTGCCAACCTACAGAAAATGGAGCCCATTCAATCCTAGTCTCCTTCACCATGCTCCTATACACTGCCTCATGCTTCTGAGTTGCAGCTGGTTTCTCCAAGGCTCCTGCTTAAAGTCAATATAGTATTGTGGCTGTAAGCAACCTGGTGCTCTGGCCTGGATAAGCCCCCTTCTGCACCTTATTCACACCTTTCAACCTCAGCTGCTCTGAGGAGGCCCTCAGGGAACACCGCTCCAATGGCTGGGGTGGGGCATGGGTCATCCCCCTGCTTCTGCAAACCCAAACTAGTTTGTTTTAGCAGCAACATAATCACCATCACCTCATCACCCCATCAAGAATGCCTGCTCCCTGCATCAGTCTCTGCAGCTGTAAGTCGGAGAGGATTGAGTTACAACGACTTTACACAAACCCCACCCACCCCACCACCCCATCCCTGGCTCACTCCCTCAGCTGCAGTGCGGTGCCACTGGCTAGCGTGCTCTCTCTCTCTCTCTCTCTCTCTCTCTCTCTCTCTCTCTCTCCCACACACACACACACACACACACACACACACACACAATGTGCTGATTTCCTTTGGATTTCAGGAGGCCCTCTCCTCCACACACAACTTTATCTCCCAGTGCTGTTGGTATCTATATATACAGGTGTGTAAGTAGGTGTATATGTGTACTATATGTGTGTTCATATAGCTATTCTTCTGGAAGACCACGTTAACTTTGTTTCATAACTTTCACATTCCAACATGCTTCACAACAGAGGAAATAAAGTAATATGAAAGACATCCTGCTTGAACTTGACAATGTGAGCAGGTCAAGAATAATACCTTAAAGTCATTTTGCTGCCCCCTTCTTCTGCCTCCACTTTCCCCTTGCTCTGAGGAGAGGGGTAGAGGAGGGGTCCTCTACTTACGAAACTCTAAGTAAACAATTCCAAAGCATTTTCTTGGTGAATTTCCCCGAAACTCACAACTCTTGTGAAAAATTATTCCTAAAGTCAGACCAGACATCTGACAGCTACATCTGAAGCCCAGAGGTCCAGAACTTTCAATCCACAGATTCCTAATTGCTGAGAGTCTCCCAAATGCTCAGTACTGAGCCAAATATGGACAGACATAAAACAGACACCACTCCTGACCAAATGAAGCCTATAGACTAGTTGAGGAGATGCAGTGTAAAAACACTGGCGCAGCTGTATCAAGGGTGAGAACAAAGGGCCACCGCATCTGGAAGGATTTACAGGCTGTGCAGATGTTCACAGAGGGGTGAGACGGGTGTACCCTGGAATCTCTCTTCAGACTGAAGGTCTGAGGAGGAGGCTGTGATCCTCCCAGCTGACATCATCTTTGCAATGAGAACCGCAGATGCTGCCCCACCACTCCCGCCCTGCCTCCTAAACGCCTGCTTCAGCTCAATTCAGCAAGTTTTCTGTAGATATCAACTACATGCAAGGTTCCCAGCTAAGAATCCAAGAATAGGTCATACATATCCCATGCCCATGAGGAATTCATAGCTTGGTAGAGGGAAACGTCCATTAATTAATAATTGCATGTCTCCAGTGCTTGAATAATGCTGTGTACAGAGAGCATGGCGGGGAGGGCCTCTCCTCCTGCCAGAGAGAAACCAGAGAGGCTCCTATCATTAGACCTGGATCTTAAGGGCTGAAACAGAATTTCCCAGGTGGGACAATGGGGGGAAGCACACAGGCAGGAGGGGGAACAGCATGAGCAAAGAGGTAGGAAGACTTGGCTTGTAACCCGAAGTGGGGCGGGTGTATCCGGGAAAGGGAGAGAGACAGCTCTGGTTGTGGGGTTATATGGCTACAAGCCCTCAGCAGGCAATACATTCCTGTTGTCCAAAAAACAGGAGGGTTCCTGAAATTCCACCCACCCCCGCCCTGCCCATGAAAGGCATAGTAACAGAGTCCGCTGGCCAGGCTTCTGTCCCCACCACCTGCCACATCCATTCCGTCAGCATGCCTTGTGCTTCTCCTAATGAGGGGCTCAGATTCAAAGGGCTCCCACACCTTTCACCTTCTTCCTGGGCTCTTGGGGGGCTGTGCATCCTGGAACATCAGCATGATGGTCAGAGAGTCCCCATACAGGTCACACATGCACATCCCATGGGCCCTCCCTGAAATCCATGGAACCAGAGGTGGGACAGGCAATTTAATGAAAGGAGAACCAAGGCTGGGAGGGGATCTATGACCTGAGGCCAGTCTGGAAGTGATTGCTGAGGGAGATGGTTGTGGGGAAGCCGTTGCATGCGAGGTACGGCTGGCTGTGCCCGAAGCGAGGACCAACTGCAGGGCAGAGGGCCTGGCAGCAGAGCAGGGACCGCACATCCAAGAAAGTGAGGAGGGAGAGTGAGAGCTGGAGGCGGGCAGAATGAATGAACAGTTGCACCTGCATTCCTCACATGGAATAAATGGTGCAGATGGGAAGCAGAGAGGCCCTGGCTGCAGAGAGAAAGAGGAGGAGGACAGCAGCCAAATATGCCATCTGCTTCTGGGGCACCGTGCTGGCTCCAGGGCCCTCTCTCCCTCCACTCAGCACGGCCCCTTTTGGTGGCTCTCCCCTGGGGAGAAGGGGGACTGCCAGGAGCACAGGTGACCAGGTTCTTGGGCTGCAGCAAGTCTTCTCCACAACAGCTGGTATGGCGGAACACTGCGGGCCAAGCACTGCCGTTTGGCCAGGCTATGAGATCTGCCCCTTCAACTTGGTGTGCTGGGCAGGGGTGAGCTCTGCCAAGACCATTTGTCATGAGGGCACCAGACGCGTGTTTCAGGAACCCCCGGGATGAGGGAGAGAGCAGAGGGTCACACGACCAAAGGATAACTCTCTGGTGTGAGAGCTGGGAAATCTAGGAGTTTGCCCTGGCTCTGTGTGACCTTGGGCAAGTCACCTCACCTCACTGGTCTTGTTTCCCCATCTGTACAATAAGGAGTTTAGATTAAATGTTCCTTAGGGAGCCTTGCAGCTAGGATCCAGTACCTGGTCAGGGGGAAGGAGCAGGAGAAGGAGCATCACTGAAGAACCCAGGCAGACGTGCAGGCTGGCAGGGTCCTAGGGAGACACATCTCCCCCCACCCCACCTTTGCCAAGGACTGCGCAGCAGGGCCTGTGACACTGAGCAAAGGAGAGTCTCTCCCTGGAAATAGAACTTGGAGAGAATCCTTCTTCGCTCCCTGAGGACTCCACACAATGCCTCCTGGTGTTTGCAGTCAGGAGTCCTCTCTAGGTCCCCACCTCAGAGTTAGAGAATGTCCTGTGTCGTCCTTGCCATCATCACCAGAGAACTCGAAGTTGACTTTCAAGCCCTGCCCCATCCCCATTCTCCTTCTCTTTGAATCACCTAGCCTTCAGACCCTCCATCTGGTGATTTCTGTTGCTATGGTTCCCACGTGGGGGCCCCAGGTGGCAGGTGGTGGTCAGGATGCCTCAGCTCTCAGCCCCTTTTAATCTTCAGATTTCACCTATAAAGTCAAAGCACCAACCCTCTGGATAGCGAAGAAAGCTGTGAGAGCAAGCCCCTACCCTCCACACACCCACGGCTGCCTTCTCTGAGAACAGCGCAGAATCTGAGGGGTGGGGTCCCTCAAGAGGTGGGGAGTGCCTACCCTCTCAAACAAGGTGGACAAGAAAAAGAGATAGCAGACCAAGAAAGGGAGGAAGAGATGAGAGCGGGAGGTGGGGAGCAGAGCCAGTAAGGGGTAGGGTTGGAGGGGGCGCAGGGCGAGAGAATTCCCTGGCACCAAGCGAAGGAATGGGATGGGGACCTGCTGAGGAAAAAGCAGAGGAAACAGCTGGACGTCAAGAAGAAGAGAAGTCTGATTGGCCACACGCTCGCCGTGGCCGGCTCCTTGCCGTTCCCGAGCAGCAGCCCCCCTACGCCCCACTGCACACAACCTTTCCATCAGAGTCCGCATCTCTCTGGATGCTGTGAGCGCCTTTGGAACAAAAAGGGTATACATAAGGGTAAGGTTCAGGGTGTGAGATGGTAGGCCCGTTGGTGTGGAAATGAGGGAGAGGGTGCCAGGCTGGAGTGCGGACTGGGTGGGAGAATGACGAGAGTTTAGGTCTCTGGGCCAGAGCCACTGGAGGAGGCTTTGAGGCAACAAACTCTGTCTTAGGACTTTTCTTTAACATTTCTTACAGATTATATAATGTGTTTTAGAGTCAGCTATGGGAGGTAAAATGAAGAGACACACTGTTGCTACTGCTGGGGACTTACCTGGCTAAAATTAAGAAAGGGGGAGAACCCACTAGAAACTCATGCAGCTAGCTCTGGGGAGAGCCACATCATCAGAAACACACCCACACCACACGCATTTCTTGGCCCATCTGTGCATACGGGTTAGACTTACATGAATATTCATATGCAATGCACATTGCCTATGTACACACACACACAGATGTACACTTCTAAGGAACTTTCCAGGTGTGTAGACACTCCCACAACCTCACAGAAGAGGTCTTTTGTTTCTGTAATCATTTGTTTCTAAAAAGCTGCATTTATGAGTATACTTTGTATATATACTAACATTCTTTTGTGCATTGTATGTCAGTTTGTAAACCTGGCCTCCTAAATGGACAAGGCCATTCCTGGAACTAGGCTTGTCTTATTCATTTCTGTACCCCAGAGACAAGTCCATAAGTGTTTGTTGAGCAGATGCATGAATGAATGAATAATGATTTTAAAAACCGCAAGATGCCTTGGTGGTGGAGTTTCTCTAAATCTCGTTTAGTGACTAACAGTTGTACTCTGTGTGGTTGTATAAGAGAGAACATCCCTGTAAATGCAGGAGCGTGTGCCCCCTCAGGAGGGAGCTGTGCAGTCAAGAGGGCATGCTTGTGTCCTCGGGGAGCTGAGTGAGCCTGTGTCTGCACATGCCCATGACAGTACCAGGGCGTGTGAGACCCTATAGAGACGGAAGTGGAGTGACGGTGAGGGGGGCCTGCAGCAAACACCCCTCAGACAAAGCCCCGGGCCCCGGCCCCCGGCCCGTGGGGCACTGGCCCAGGTAATGAAGGCACTGAGTGTGGGATGAAGGGATAAGAGTCTGCCGGTGTGAGGGCGGGAGCTTCCCACAAACTCAAGAGATCCCAGTTCCTTGGATGGCTGCCCTCCCTCCTGCTCGCTCCCCAGGACGGAATGCCAAGCGACTCTGCTCCATTCCCATCCCAACCCCACCCTCCAGGCCCCCCGTGAAGTTCCTGGTTTCCCTGAGCTTGCTCACCCTGGTGCTGCAGGAAGCAGGTGCCGCTTCTCTCCCAGAGAAGGAGAGGAAGAGGGGAGGAGCGCAGCCACACAGGGAAGGCGACGCACCTGGCTCCGCATCTGGGGAGCTCTGCCCTGAGCCTGGACAGCAATGATGAGGTCGCTGACCTGAGCAGCTGGGAAGAGCTTGAAAACGACAGGGACCAAGCTCCCCGAGGTGAGGGCACAGCGCGCCAGCCACCGGCGGCACCCCCGAGACTGGGGCCGGTCTGGCCACTCTCAGGCTCTGTAGCGCAGGTGTCTCTCGCCTCCATCTCTTTCTCTGGAGGGTGGAGATTCATGTCCCTTCAGAGGAACTTGTCACTCAGATTATACTAAGAAAGAAGACGAGAAAACTTGCATTTTTTTTTGTTCATTTGTAGCAAGCTCAGTGGGACTTTCCTTAGGGATAACACATCTCTCCCTCTGCTTTCAAGTAACACCATAAACCAAATCCCACTGGGACATCAGCAATGTCTTCATATTCTCCCTAGAAAAATGCCACAACCCTCTTCAGTCTGCAGTTCTTTCTCAGCCACTCCTAGCCTTTGCAGGGGCTGATCTGAAGTCTACATTTGCTGGATGTGAGTTTAGTCCGTGCAGGGCAAGGGAAGAGCTCCAGCCTGGGAAATCTGGAACCTGACCACCAGCTGGTCCCCTCACCCCAGTCCCTCCCATCTGTGGGTCTCAGGTTCCTCATCCATGTAATAAAGCTGTTGGACCAGATGCCCTCTAAGAAGGTCCGTTCCTTGCTCATTCCTCCTGCTATCTTCCCTCCTCCTCCACAGTGACTCCTGGCAAGTTTGAAAAGGTCACTGATGTTCCCAGAGTCCAAAGTGAAGCCCCTCTCAAGCAAAAGCTGACTTAAACCGTGTGCTGTGTGCTATGTCTCTAGTTTAAAGGAATCAGTCTGGCTCTTCCAAACAGGATCAGCTCTACCTGGAGCACTATGGCTCTGAGGACAACCTCTTCAAATGCCACAATAACAAGGCCCACTACATTGGGCCTGCTGGCTTCCCCAACCGGACACAGCAAGGTCACAGTCACAGGTTTCAACATGCAGGCATGACCCAACACCAGGGGCACAGAAGTGGATGCGGAAGGGCTAGGGAGCAGAGGGTCAGTGAGAAGAGAAATAGCCACAGCAAGAACGGCAGGGGGTGGGGGGGAATCAAAGAGAGAGCTGGCTGTTCCTAAGGCTTCTGCCTGAACACACAAATTGAATAGGAAGCTAAGAAACACCAGAACTCCACCATGCTAGCAAAGCCACCCAACTTTAATTAACAGGGTCGCTGGGGGAGGAGGCTGAGTGGTAATTAGAGACCATTAAAAGCCTGTAGAGAAGAATAAATAACTGTGGCTATCACTTGGCATGGGGGCCCATGAAGCAATCATACTGCTTTTGAGCTTTTAATTCCCTCCTGAGCAGCTCCTTTCCTGTCCTTGATGTCCTCCTGGAGCCTGGGATGCTGATGTATCTGACAATGAGGGGCTGATGCCCTCCTGAGGGTTAGAACTGAGGTGGAGGAGGGATGCAGTTTCCCCCTTGCTTGTCCTCGGATCCTGTCCTTATCTTGAGATGTTTGCCTTGGGCAGATCTAGAGTACTGGGGCCTCAGCAGAGAAAGCCCTTCAGTCAAGAATCCATGACCTCTCAGAGCTATGGAATGTCAGCCTCAAAGGCACTGTAAGGGATTCCGCTGGACGCGCCATCTTGAGGCCTTGGAATAAGAAGGGTGCTGGGGCCCTCCCCGCTCCCCCTACACTGTTCCATCACTGCTGGTGAGAACTGCCTCTTAGTCTTGGGGCTGTGTCAGTGCTGACAAAGGGCCCCTGGAGGTGGACTAGCAGTGGTCTCTTGTAATCTCTGTCCCTTGTAAGAGCAAGTGATGGAAACCACATGCACTGTGCAGTTGTATGAGCCAGTAAAGTACCCGAAGTTTTTAAAGCCAGTCTGAGTCTGATGGCCTGGCTATATCTCATGATCACTGGCCATGGACTGAGAACAGTGAAGGGCTCTTTCCCAATGGAGAACTGAAATGCTGGCACCATTAACAAAGGGAAAGAAATTCTGGGCAGGCACCATCCTCTCCACCTTGGCTCTGCTAGGCTCCTGGGAGCCACACGGAACTTAACTAACTTCTCGCCCACCAGGCAGCTGGCACTTAATTATTTCATCTTCATCGTACCTGTGGGATCAGAGAGGAACCCGAAAGAAAAGACAGCAATAGCTGTCCTAGAATCACCCACATAGGCCCAGGAAAACCTCCACAGGACCAGGGTTTGGCAAGGATACTAATGGGCTTAGGTTGGGTCATATCTGAAGGTGGGTCTGGTTCTCTTAGGTCAAGGGCTGAGTGCCAGGCTGGAAGCATCCAATGGCACTGCCTGTGTGCGCTGTGACAGTTGGTGCTGGGCAGAACCCAAGGGAACACAGATGGCCCTGGATCAGATGCTCTCTGAGGCAAGGGCCGCTGGTCCCAGAGGCTGAAGGGAGCCCGACGATGGGGGTTTCTCCCTTTATTCTGTCTTTCTCCTATGCCAGGCCTGCCCACCTGTCTGGTCTGAGTGTGCCTTGGTTCCTCTGTGTACTGCGACGATGCTCACCTAGAGAGCAACCCTCGTCTTCCCCAGGCAACCGCCTCCATATACGCCCGCTTCAACCCCATCCACCAAATCCGGGCCAGAGACTTCAAAGGGCTGAGTACATAAGGTCCTGGCAAGAGAGTAGCCTGAGCATGGCAAAGGGAACCCCTGGGGCACTCTCTTGCCACCCAGCCATGTGAACAGTCACTAGACACCAGTCCCCACCTGTGTTAGCCTTTTCCTGCTAACTTTCCATCTTTCCAGCTATTAAATGGATATAGACCCACATCTCTCTAATTCCTTTCCTTGAAGATGTTACACAACAGAAGTGACCTGTTTTCATTTATTCTCCCAAAAGCTGGGAAGCTGGGAAGGGGAAGAGTGATCAAGCCTACATTTTCGAAGTGTCCTGGCAGCTGCAGCTCTGTGCCCTCTTGGCTTCTGGACAAGGCCATGCTAAATCTACTCTCCACAGCACTGATGCTATTTACGGGATTACTTGTTTGTTTGTTTGTTTGCTCCTTTATGCCTTATATCCTGCCTAAGACAGGAGATCTGGGCTCTAATCCAGATTCCGCCACTACTCGCTGCAGCGTTCTTTTTATGTAAACTAATGGTGGAGGATAGAGGTGGGATGGATCCTTGAAAGATTTCTTCCGAGGTGGGCAGCCACCATGCAGGACTGAGCTCCAGGGAAAGGTGTTGCAGAGTCTGAGGGCTTTCCCAGGGAACTCTGCTCTATGACATTATTCCTCTGGTGTGGACAAGGTGCAGGTGGAAAATTGATTGTCATTCCCTATCCTGAGAGGGCTGGAGCAGGGTACAGCAGCTCTTGCAAGAGCAGGAAAAGGTGGTGTGTCCTGTGTCTCTCTATTCGCCCTCGTGCCCCTCAGCAGAACTGAAGGGGGTTGACCTCTCTAGCAATTTCATCTCCCCCATCGATGACGATGCCCTCCGCCTGCTGCCTGTTCTGCAGGATCTGATCCTCCCAGATAACCAGCTAGCAGCCCTGCCCAGGCTCCCTACAGGCAGCGAGGTCCTTGGCAGCTGCCTGAATTGGCTCCAGAGCTCGGGGATACAGCCTGGAGTCTTGAGGGTGAGCCAGGGCCTGCAGCGTGCCATCGAGCCCCTGCCACCCACACGCACAGCCACACTCGCACTCCTTGCCCTCATGAGCTATCTGTGCTCCACCCCTGTTCCGGGGCCTGAAAATCACACTCACTTTTTCATCTGTTCCCATTTGTTTTATTAAAGGTTCTTTTTGTAGCAAGAACCTGATGCTGACTCAGAAGAAAACAGTGTTTACCACATGCCATCCCAAGAACCTCCATAAAGGGAAACCCAGGCCTCCCGGCCTGTTACTGGAGGGACAGTCTCAGAAACCAAGATCCAAGATTCTCCCTCTCTGTCTCTGGACATGCGGGCTGTGGCTTCTTTCTGGGCACCCACCCCATTGCTCCCTCTGCACACGCAGCTCTGCTCCTCTGAAACATGCAGTAGTGCTGCCTCCTGCCCCAACTCTACTCCACTCAGTTCCAAATCGCACCACTAACTAATTATTGCCCTTCTGTGATCAAATCCTCAAGCAAGACCATCTGCTTGGTCACTGGCTAACCAGTTTAGATGGGAAGGGCTAACAAATGGTACTAATACGGCCCCCTGCAGCCACCCACTCCACAGGGCTGGGAAGATGGGGTTGGGGGCAGTTCCCATGAAGAATGAAGAGGGGTATGGACAAGACTGACCCCAGATCTGCCACCCATGCGTGCTCAGTTTGCCTCATGTGTGTCTGTGGCTCTCATTCTGTTGATCTGGGTATTTCTGGAAGGCAGCCTCCACCGGTACCCCAGGTTTAGCGTTTGGAGACTGTTCATTTGAGAAAATCCCTCCTGATAGCAGAGAAGTTGAGGCCCAGCTGCGATGTCCGCTGCCATCCCTCCATCCCCATCCCTGCCCTCTCCTGCTCCTCCCCACTCTCGCTAGCAGCAGGCAGCTCCTGCACCTGCCCAGGGCAGCAGCTTTCCTTCTATATCTCCTGGGAGTCAGCAAGCAAGCCCCCGAGAGTCTGGGCACACCTGCCGTACCCATCGTGGAGCCTGGCACACAGCTGAGGAGGCCCTGAGTGAAGGAAGAGGGTACACCAGGCACCCCTCTCTGCCAGGACCCACTACCCTCCCACACCCTTTGCCGGTTTTCCACCCCACCCCCTCCCCAGGCCTTGGAGAAGCTGCAGTTCCTCTACCTGGCTGGCAATTTGCTGGATTCCATCCCAGGGCCTCTCCCCCGAGCCTGCATTCTCTACATCTGCAGGTGAGCTGCCCTCCTAAGAGCGTCACACAGGGCAGAGAGGGCAGGGACAGAGGGCCGATACAGGGAACATCCTTAGGCAGCGGTGCAGTCTTCTCCTTTGAGAGCTTATGGGAGACATGGATGAGTCAGGCTTGTCCAGGTCATTTTCTACAGCCTTAGTTTTATTTCCTCCTCTTTCTTCTCTTTAAAACATTTCTTCTCCCTCCACATCCTTATCCCATCTCGCCCAACTGCCTGTTCCTTCTCCCCTTTCCCTTACCCCTGTCTCCTCCTCTTCCCTTCATCCCTCTGTCTCCACCCCAGCTCCATGCGCCTCCTCCTCTCACCCCTTGCTAGATGGTCTTGGCCTTAGCTGCCTTGGTTGTCCAGTTATAAAGGTGGATAGCTGATTGAGCCTTCAGTGCAACTGTCCATGCGCTCCTTCCAGAATAGTATGATAGAGACCATGCAGAGTGACATCTTCTGTGATGAGGGGAGCACAGGCAGACATGGCGGTGGCTGAAAGACATCCGCCTGGATGGCACCCCATCAACTGGGGCCTCTTCCCCGGCACCTGCTTCTGCCTGCCACGGCTCCACACAGGCCCCTTCTCCTACCTCTTCCCTGCCCCTCTCCCCAGGTGGTGGCCCTCAGAGAACCATCGAAGGCACAACCTCCAAAAGCCTTTCTTCAAGGTGTTTATCAGCCTCATGCTCTAGTTGCAGAAATTAGTCCACGTCCCCTGCCCCCCCAACACACACACTCTTCAGAATGTCCTTCAGAAGCCAAATTTGCATTTCTTCATTCTCTGTCTTTAACACTCTATGGCTCCTGGTTCAGAGAATATCAGTGTCTGCAGCAAAGCTCTTTCCCATATTCCCATCCCTCCTGCCCATGTGAAATGCCAGGGGAGTCATAGGAGAGGAAGAAGAGGAGAAGAAAGAGAAGGAGGAAGGGGGAGAAGCAATGATGTGCTGGAGCCAGCTTTTACTACTAGCCTTACGAGAACAAGTTATTACATTTTCCAGAATTTTGCAAGCCAGTTAGTTGTTAAACACAACCATTATTAAAAATTAAATTATATAAACTCAATTACAATATTAGGTTAGGGACAAATGTAATAAATACTCAAACTCATCATTTCCCAGTTATTTTACTATGTTTTACTATATTTTACTATTAGACATTTTTTTTAACTGATTTGTGCCCATGGGTTCTGTGCAATAGAAATATTGTATAATAACATGGTACCTCTTCTCATGTCTTCCCAGATCTGCTTGCAACCATGGGTAGTTTGAAATGGGCCATGGTGGAAATATTCGATTTTATTTATTATTTATTCATTTACAGTTGGTTGCTAAACATTTGCCAGCACTCCACTGAGGAGAAAACAAAGCTATTTAAACTTAGCCTTACCCCCAGGCCACCCCACAGGGGGAACGGTGGGGTTTCTGTGAGGCTCTCTTTAATTTCTTGCCCTTCCAAAGCCAGAGGTTCCTGTTAGATTTTGAGGAAACCATTTATAAGAACAGAGAACTGCCGGGACTCTTCACCTGGGTGCCCTCCTTGTAGTTCCTTGCCCACTGGCCAGCCTCTGACTGGGGCTCAGGGGGCCGTTCCTGACCACGTGGGTTTCCATCCTTCCCATGCTCTTCCATGTTTAACCACCAGAGGGCAGCCTTGCAAAAAATAAATGCGTTGAGCAGTAACACCTGCAACCGCCTTGGACCCTGGGCGGGGCCTGCTGTGCGGGCAGGATGGGAAGAAGGGCAACTGCGAGCTAGCAAATTTGCTCCTCGATTTAAAATGGCAGGGGAAATGTCAGCTTTCTCTGACTTCTTATAAGATGTTGGGCAAGGGGAATGTAACAGATGAGCATTTGTCATTGGGTGTTAACTTCAGGCAGGCAATCCATTCCTCATTCAGCAAGGATTTTATGGAGCACTCCCTGCCATGTGCCAGACACTATGTTACATGTTGGTGACAAGGTGTGCAACATGTACTCCTTTTCCTTATGGAGCTTCGAGTCTGATGTGGAAGACATGTGTTAAACAATCATACAAATAACCACACTATTCTACTCATGATAAATGCTAAAGAAGAAATAATGTAGAACACCCTGAGAGCTTATGGGAGGGGACCAAGTCTAAGGGTCCAGAACACCTCAAAGAACTGACATCTAAGCCAGTTGCCAAGGCAACCACTCAAGGTCCCAGGTGGTCCCTGAGTTTGGATGCACAGGTGTGTCTTGCCCATGGGATGGAACCCACTCATCTGCCTCCCCTGCCTCTGTCTGGCACATCTCCATGCACTTTGGGTCCTCAGGACAGTCCTATAAGAAGACAAGTCAGAGATTAGTCACTTTCCTCAAAGGAAGAAAGAGAGAACTAGAGAAGATTAAACACCTTCCCTAGCTCTCATATAACTTGGACCAAGCCTTGGCGCACAGAGTGCAGACTGGGAGTGGGAAGCCTTGAAGGTGATGAGAGGGGCCCTCGTGCCCTCCTGCAGTGGCTGTGCCACTCACCCTCTCTCCTAGAGACGCAAGGATCCCAGGGCCCCTGGCCCCGGGGAGGACTGAAGTGGGGTTACCCAATAGCTTCTTGCGTTTCAGAACAGTAGAGAACAGTAGAATTTCAGAACAGGAGGGTTCAGCATCTCTCTCTCTCCCTCTCTCTTTCTCTCTCTCTCTCTCTCTCTCTCTCTCTCTCTCAGCATATCCACCAGTCTTATCCTCTTTCATATAATCTTTTTCCACGTACTCCACATACTGCTTTATTACATCACAACAAGGCCTAGGCACATACAGTTGATAGCCTCAAGATCCCCAACTGTGAGAAACTCTGTTGCAATAATCCAATGAAAAAAAAAAAGAAGGAAATTTTCCTAAACTGGGGCTCCTGGGTGCCAGAAGCCACATCATAGTCCTATGTCCTGTGGTTAATATGTGCTGCATATAGAAAGTCATCTGACCCTTGTCCTACTGTGGGAGAAAGAGACTAACAATTCCTGGGCTCTGGGAATTTGCCAGACCCTGTAATGGAAGCCTGTAGGCTCATCTACTTATTTAACCCCTGTAGCTCTAGATAGCAAGGAATGCTTATCTCCATATTGCCGGTGAGAAACAAGCTTATGAAAAGGATGTGGCTCAAATTCACACAGCTAGTAAGTGGCAGAGCATGATTCAAACCCAGGCCAGATGGCACACAGGCCCAAAGTCCTGTTCTCACACCATGTTTCAATGCAGGCACTTCTTTCCAGGCCAGTCAAAGGAGGTGGGCTCTGGCTGCTCTCCTGTGCAGCTGTCTCCTATCTAATTCTCCATTCTGGTCTAGAGAAGCCCAAAGAGAGAGAGAATGGCCTTGCTGGCCACCTCCCTGAAGAAATTCTGCAGAGGGCATCTGTCCCTTGGCACCTCCCTTGATCCAGAGAGGGAGGTAGGGAGGGGAATCAAGCTTGGCTCCCAGCAGTTGTCACACCTGGACATGAAGGAGCTGGGACTCTTATTTCTCAGGGACGTAAAGGAGCCAGAGTTGGGAATCTGGCAGGGACAGCGGAAAGCACCTCTTTATCCAGAGTGAGACCCTCTGTCCTGCAGAATGGTAAAGATGTGAGCCAGCTCTGAAGTAAAAAACAAGAGAGCAAAGAGGGGGCCTTGGGGTCTAGTCAGGATGCCTCACTGATGGCAGGCACCACGACTCTCCCGAGCTCACTCACCCAGGCCCACCTGTACTCCACCTTGGTGACTTTGGAGACCCTAGCAGGGCCCTTGCTCCAGAGCAGCTCCCTGGTAGTCATCCTTCAACCCTGAGGGAAGGAGCCCCCCACCCGCAGCACCCCACAGCCTTCAGAACATTTCGGCTGCAGGCTGCCCTGACCTGTCCTGTGAGTGTCATGGGAGGAAGAGGCCAGAAGGACTGTGCAGGGACTGCCCCCTACCTGCCCATCCTCTGCTCCATGGCAAGGCCCAGCGGGGCGCGGGGCTGGAGGAGGCTGGCAGGACCGGCAGGTAAAGGGACTGCTGGAAGGGCTGGACATAATCCTTTCAGGAACCAGGCAGTGTTTCCTCACTGTGACCTTGCCTAGACTTCCTTCCTGCTTTCTTTTCCCTTGAGGCTCCTCCCTGAATAACAATCGCTGAGGCTTATGCTGTAAATGTGCACTTTACAGACCTCTTGTACAAACGGGATTAAATTTATAGTCTCAACAAGCCTGTGAAGGTGTTATTATCCCTACTGTATAGACAGAACATTGGAGGCCAAGTGATTACTTCAGGAGAAAGACAAAAGATGACTTAACATTCAGAAAAAGACTAGGGGAGGGGAGGGACATTCCTGCAGAAAAAATGGGAAATCCCCTCCCCTACTAGGGAGCAAGGGATTACTTCCCCCACCCCCTACTCCCTAATCAGGAGATCTTTGCAAAGTAAGGAGTGGGGAGCATTTCCTAGGCTGCAGAATTGGGCCCCTCAGCTCTGCATCCTGATGGAGCATGTGAGGCAATGAGGTGGTGATAGCTTCTGTGATCTCAGCTCAGGAAAACCCCAGGGCTCAAGGACACACTGGCCCCAACTCTGCCCCCACACCAGCAGGCATGCGGCCTGGCTCCCACATGCCAGTGTCTGCGTTTCTGTGTCCTTGTTTTCGGCTAGAAAGAGGGAGGCAGACAGACAGGAGGTGGACTCAGCTCTGCCTTCCCCCTCCGCTGTCTGGATCCCTCTCTGCTCTCTCCCTCCTCCTCGCCTGCCCCTCCCCTTGCCCCCACACTAGACACTAGCTCAATTTTGCCTCTTCTCTCTCTCAAGGTCATTCCTGCATCTCTCAGGCTGGGCCAGCTTTCCATGACCAGCCACTGCAATCTCACAGCCTCCCTCCTGTGGTTCCACCAGCCTGACAGAGGGTCTCCCTCTGAAGAGAGGATGTGGCTTTTCCCCACTGCTCCTGGGTCTCCCTATAGGGGTCAAAAAGCAGCCGACAGACCACCTCCTTTCTGTGTAACTGCAATAAATCCCCCAAATTCAGGCCTCCCTCTCTTCAGACCATCCTCCCCCAGGTGTGGCCAGACCTGTGGCCCTGGACACGCATGCACATGCCCTCCCGAATGTGCACACATACATCATGCTACATCTGCTCTCCTTTCTCTCCTCCCTCTGCAATCCTTCCATCTCCTTTCCCCATGTTCTTCCTGTGTCTCAGGCACCAGAGCAGACAGCCCTTATCCTGCTCCTATCACCACTGGTCCCAGCCTGTCTTCCAGAATTTTTGTCTCTGGTGTCTGTCCAACACATGGTTTATACACAGGAGTAAATACAAAGATGCTGTGGCCACCTGCAAAGGTACTGCGGTGCAAGGAAGCAACGGAGTGAGAGTCTAGAGCCCTGAATTTACCTTCCCCAGGCCTTGACTTGCTGTGTGACAGGTAGCAAGTCACACTAGCACCTTGCTCTGTCCACCTTCCCCTTGGAGCGCCTTCAGGCCAATTCTGTTGCTGAAAACATATCCAGGCCTGAGAGGCATGGTGTCTATACCAATCCCCATCCTATTTCTAGTCTAAGAACAAACACCAGGCCATCCCTTCCTGCTGCCTGGAGCACAGACCAATGTGGACAAGGAGATGCCCAGCAGTGCAGGGAGAAAAAGGGAAGTGTGGATGGGAAATATGTACTCACCGAATGCGTTTAGTCTCCCAACTCAAGTTTCTGATCCCAAATCAGCTGCAC